GGTCACCCCCCCCCAACAAGACCTGGCTCACTGGACAGGATGAGCAGTCCGATCACACCCCCCCCAACAAGACCCGGCTCAGCGGCCAGGACAAACAGCCCTGTCACACCCCCCAACAAGGGTTAACCTGATGGGCTACCCTATAAGCTATTTAAAAGCACAGGAAGGCTCTCCCCAGGCCACTCCCCTGACCCGAATGCCAGCAAGGGGCTCTGGTCCCAGAACTGGAGCTGTTAGGGACTGGTAGACAGTGGGACAGTGCTAAGGACTGGACTGGACTTGGACTTGCTCTGTCGAATTATTGAGAAGACGGGCTACAGAGCCCAACCCGAGACCATGCCCGCGGTCCTGAACAGAACATACCGGCTTCCTGGGTTCCGCCACCTCTCTGACACACAGGTTCTCAAGTGGAATGATCCCTCTGGGCTCCTTATCCTGGGGGAAAAAAAAAAAACACTGTGTCGTGAGATCATTCCCGAGACACGCCTAAACCAAGGTGCCTGTGCAGGTCTGAATTTAAGCAGACACTGAGAAGGAAGCAGTGTGGACCCGTGCACTAGGGACAGACAGAGACAGCTGCAGGTGCATTACAGCTTAGCCTGTCAGAACAGAACTACACTGTGCATTAGACTGGGGAAGTACAGCAGCGCAGGACCAGGCCCACAGAAAGAGAGAAAGAAGTTAACACTCACTGTGGTGTATTCAAAGTAGTAGAGGCAGTTGTCAGTTAAAATAAACCATCTTCGCTTCCAGGTTTTCACTCTTCCGCCTTCAAGAAATCAAGAAAAACAACTCTTTTAGATTGCTGACGTACTCTTAGCAACCTGAAAAAAAGAACTTAAAAGAATTGCAAGTAATCCAGTCAACTTTTGCAGATAAAAAATAGCCATCTATTCAGAAAGTTCCTTTGTAGGGGTCTTCCAAAATGAATGATATAATACAATACTCCAAAGGACAGGGTGAGCCCCTACAGGCTGGAGATCACAGCCAGGGTCCCAGTCCAGGATGAGCCCCTACAG